CCCGCCGGAGGCGGCCGGGTCGGGGCAGCCGTCGGCGGCGCGGGGAGGGCGAGAGTAGTGCTTGTGCGGGGTCTGAAGGGTGCCGGGCGGCGTGGCGCGGTCCGTGAGGGAAGACGGGCGCTCTGGGTTAGGACAGACCCGAGGGAGGCGCCTGCCGCCAAGGGGGGGAAACCTGGACTTCGCGCGTCGGCTCCGAGCCCGGTTTTCGTCTCCGAGGTGGGTGGTGACACCGTCTTGCTGTCGCAGGGGCGAGGGGCCGAGCCCCTGTCACGTAGTCAGAGCTCCGGGGCCACCCTCCCCAGGCCGGGCAGACCCCCGGCCTTGTCGTGAGCCTACCTGATTCTCTCCCCACAGCCCCGGCCACTCGCTCTGCCGTGTTGGCCGTCATGCACTGCTTGTCCAGACTCCCAGCTCCCCAAGGCCGGATGGCATGTGTGAGGCGTCAGAGTCCCCCGTGCCTGCCACACAGATGACTGCCATAAATTGAGTAAACAAGCAGTCATTGTCATCCTGTTTGTTGTTCGTTTGGTTAGGAAGACGGTTGTTTCTCCTGTTGGGCATATTATGGGTGAATTATGTTACGGATGTCACAATCTGGGGTACACACAAGTCTAAGATACTGACACCATCTTCAGAGAATCTGTAGTTTACTAGGAGAGATGTGGTATTTGCATAAATAAGTACACAGAGGAACAGATTTAGAACTCGGGTTCTAGCAATCAACATTTGAGCCAGTTTGGGGTAAGATTCAAGGTTAGGAGAAACTGATGTTTTCTATGTTGGGCAGTTGAGGAAAGAGACGAGGCATGGAGGAAGAGGAAGGAATTGCCAGGAGTCTGTGCGAGTAGAATGTGTAGTGGGTGGAGGTCACAGGAACCAGAGCTCCTGCAGGCACTGGAGAGGCAGAGCTGTGCTGAAGCAGAGGAAGGTTACCTGCGGGGGAGCTAACTTTGTTGCCAGCTGTGATGGGAGGAGGGATTTTGGAGGTAGACCCGAAGGACTTGGTGATGGCGGGGAGGAGGCAAAGCTCATGCCGTGGTGCCCAGGATGCACCGCCACTGTCAGCTGAAACAGCTCAGAGCAGCTGCAAGGTGGTCACAGAAGAGGACCTCTGACTGGGCCAAGGGGTCTGAGGTCCTGCTTGGATTTGGAGAGGAAGGTGATTAGCAGGTTGTTGAAAACGGGAAACTGGGACTTGGATGAGGAGAGGGTTCTGGTACCCTGGCGAATCTCTGTCAAGGAGGTTGGAGGGTGGCAGAAGATGGCCTTGGTAACCACCTCAGTTTTCCCTCCTGAGGAGAACAGATCTCTGATGTTTGGGAGCATGGCCTTGTGTGGTTCCTGCCACCGGCACCTTGGGAGGTTTCCCAGAGGAGTTGGAGGTGTTGTCACATGGCTACCATGGAGGGAAGAGCCCAGGGACAAGGCCAGCCAGATAATCAAGCATCTTGGGGTCTCCTGCAGTGCCACTGGCTTCACCACCCGGTCAGACATTGGGCCTGCCCGCGATGCCAATGATCCGGTCGATGACCGCCATGCGCCCCCAGGCAAGCGGACGGTGGGGGACCAGATGAAGAAGAGCCAAGCTGCGGACGATGATGACGAGGACCTGAACGACACCAACTACGATGAGGTGACCCGTGCTGGCTGGCTGGCCGGCGCCCACTTTCCCCACTTCTCACCCTGCTTCTCACCCTACTTCTCACCCTGTGACCCTGTGCGCTGCGGGCACTGGGGGTGGCGGGACACTTGCTATCTCAGCTGCTCACGGACTGGGGGGCTCGCTCAGTGTGAGGGGGAGCAGGAAAAGTGGAAAGAAATACACACTGTCTTCAGAAGAGGTGCGCTTGCACATGTTAGAGCTGCTGCGTTGGGTTTTGTCTCGACTGGGCTTTAATAAACATTTTAAGTGGAATTGGTGGTAATATTTGCTTTCTTTTGCTTTAGCAGTCATCTTCTTAGTTGGTATTTGGTCAGCCGAAGTTTTTTATAGGCGTGTTATGACAGATGGCATTTCTCCCCAGAAGAAAAGATTTTTAAAAATTCAATTCTGAAATAATTTTTTTTATTTTGTTGTTTGGTGGGGGAGGTAGTTAGATTACTTATCTATCAATTTTTCAGAGGAGGTCCTGGGGATTGAACCCAGGACTTTGTGCATGCTAAGATGTGCTCTGCCACTTGAGCTATGCCCTCCCACCTCAGTTCTGAAATAATTTTAAATTTACAGGGACTTCCAAAAGTAACATGAAGAATTTCTGCATACCCTTCACAAGCTTCTCCCCATCTTACATGACCCTAGTACTATTCTTGAGGGAGGTTAAAACTGACAGCACTGTTAACTAACCTCCAGATCTTTTCTGAATTCTACTGGTTTTTCCACCTCTGTCATCATGTTTCTGGCCCAGGACCAAGGCCAGGATCCCACGTTGCATCTGTGTCCCCTTCTGTGTCTCTTCTGATTGGTGCAGATACTCTGCCTCTCATGCCCTTGACTCTTGAAGAGTAATCATCAGCTCTTTTCTTATCCCTCAGTTGGGGTTTGACTATTTAAAAAAATGCTTAGCAAGCATTTTGCAGCCATACATGCTCTGTTTCTGCTGGTGGGGGCTGTGCTGGAGGAGAGGCTGATCTCTGTTATGTGCTTCTCAGTTTAACGGCTATGCTGGGAGCCTCTTCTCAAGCGGGCCCTACGAGAAGGATGACGAGGAGGCGGATGCTATCTACGCGGCTCTGGATAAAAGAATGGATGAAAGGAGGAAAGAGAGACGGTAAAGCTCTTCACACTCTATTTATCCAACTTCTAAAAAAAGTTTTACTTTGATTTATTTCAGACTTGGAGAAAAGTTGAGTTTTACTTTGATTTATTTCAGACTTGGAGAAAAGTTGCAAGAATAATATGTGTGTCTGCTCAGCTTTGCGGTCACCTGCGTCTTTCTTTAAGGCAGTCACACTTGGAAAACCCTGGGCTGTTGCAGAGTAGCCTGGGAACTGGAGTGGAGAGCTTTCTAGAAGTCAGCAGAATTTGGGGGATTAGTCTGACTACACGTCAGGGTTACCATCTTTGAAATGTGTGTGGTGATGTTGATCACTGTGCACTAGGTAAATTAAAGGTTAACTGAAGATGACAGGTGAACATTTCAGTCCTTGTGGGCAGGTGCTGTGTCTGGAGAATCTCGGTCCACACAGCAGGGCTGGGCTGGGCTGGGCTGGGCTGGGCTGGTGGGGACAGACTGCGTGAGCCTGGGGGAGCGAGGCCCAGGCAGGCCGAAGGAGGATGTGCTTTGAGTCTTTGGGGGTCTGTTGAGGGAAGACCACTCTCCCGCAGGGGCCCTCGGGTGGATGTGCTGCATTGAACTTAGTTCCAGCACGTCTGCTGTGTTGATGTCACCTCCGTGGCAGCTTTCTGATTCCTTGTCCTTTCTGAGGAAATTTATGCAAAGTCAGCACAAGGTCTTGCAAACTATAATAAGTTTTATTACTTTATACTTTTTTAAAGTGTTTTATTATAGAATGAATACATTCTTATTGTAGGCTATCAGGGCAGTGAGAGTAAGTGTGAATAAGAGGATGACACTTACTTGTAAGTCTGGAATGTAACATTTAACATATTGGCTCACTTTTTTCTTTCTGTTGCTCATCATAGGTACAATTTTGTTACTTCCCATAATATATGTAGAATTTTAAAAATTTTCACGGTTTTTTTTCAAGGTTTTTTTTTTAGAACTTTTTTGGTACTACTTAATTAATTAATTAGTTAACCAATTTTTGGGAGGAGGTAATTAGGTTTATTTGTTTATTTTTTAATGGAGGTACTGGGGGTTGAACCCAGGACCTTGTACATGCTAAACATATGCTCTACCACTGAGCTATATCCTCCCCTCAAGATTACTTTAGAAAAGAGAAATACTGCTTTTCAGTGGAGGTTTAGAAAAATGTTATTAAGTCAGTGTGCGTGAATTTATATAGGTATGTATACATATATGTATGGTAATTAAATGTGCATGGTTTGTGTATTAAAGAAGGTTTGATTCCAGTCTTCTGGCATTCATTCATTAACACATAGAAAGCTGTCGTATTAAGTGGTTTTAGGGAAGTGTTGTCTTTTGAGAAGTTTTTGCAGGACAGACAGGTAGAGGGAGCGATGGGGCGGACACGCACGCCCTGTGTGGTCTCTGTGCTGCACACAGTTTGCACATTTGCTTCTTCTGCATCCGCAGGTGGTCTTCGCTGGGTCCCTCAGGGTGTCTTCACCCCAGCACCGAGTAGTCCATCTTTGTTAGCCAGTCCACATCCCATTTTCCCTGCTTGTGCCCAGAACAGCATAGAACTGCCTTTTCCGGGCCAGG